GTTGTTGTTCCAAAGCAAAAAAAAAGTTTGCAGTGTAATTTGAGGGATTTATGAAAATAGTAAAAAGATTACAGTTTTTTTTTCTTAATGTTTAAATCGTTTTATTCTATTCTCGTATTGCATTTTGGTTCTTTTTTTAAATCTTAAAGTCAAGTCAGTGGATTATGCATAGTGCGTTGTCGACGGGCCTCTCTTTGAACGTGTTGGTTTTGATCTGTTCAATCACCTCCCGAAAAATACATCAAGTTTCCGTTTTCAACTTTTCCTCCTTCGTTTTATTCTGCTGCTGTCTGTTTGGTTTCAGATTTGCGCAAAAGACGATGCAGAAGGCAACTGGTGTCCACTGACCGGAAGTATGCAGTAGATTGTTGTGTTTGGGCGGTGTCTGATGGAAGCGGTATACCTGAAAATAGGAGGGGCTTTAACTTTGGATACCTGCTTTTGTTATGTCATGTTGCAATGCTTTAATTATCCGGCCATCCATGCGGTTGTGGCTATCTCTGTTCATTTATCATTCTTCAGAAATCTAAGTCATCCAATGTTGATCAATTCTTTATTTGATCACTTCATTATTTATTCCTTTTTTTTTCTTCTGCTTTAATCTGTTTTTTCAACTGTATAAAATTGTGGAAACTGTAAGGTAATAATAGTTGTTTTTCAAAATTTTCAAACTAATATCCATTGCAAGACGATACAGCTATAATCTGATGATGACAATGATGATGATAATGATGGGCGTTGTGATCAATGCTGTTGAATAATTGGATCTGTCACCAGAAAGTTTCTTTTTTTCCCTCATTTTCTTCTTCATAGTGGTGACAACAGTATTATCGTTCGTCGTTTTAATCAAGAATTACTGACCTGGTTGTTTGATAGTGGCTGTAATTTCCAGAGCGGTTAAAAGGATGAGCCGAGCTGTGGAAGACACAGCACTTTTGCAAACACCAATTCCGTTGGGTAAAGATGGTGTACAGTCGGTAATTGACTTCTGGACAGACGCTACGCATGAAGTGAAAAATTTATTGGCCAACGAGTGTGATATCATTTTTCAGTGCAGGTATATAAAGAATTTTCAAAAAATTTTACTAAGTATGGTTGTATTCTGTTCTTTTTTCTTTATCTTTTTCTTTCCTGTTTATTTG